CCCAACCCACCCACCCACCCACACCCACCCCCCCAACCCACCCACACACCCCCCAACCCACCCACCCACACCCACCCACACCCAACCCACCCACACCCCCCCCAACCCACCCACCCACCCACACCCACCCCCCCAACCCACCCACACACCCCCCAACCCACCCACCCACACCCACCCACACCCACCCCCCCAACCCACCCACACACCCCCCAACCACCCACCCACACCCCCCCCCAACCCACCCACCTACACCCCCCAACCCACCCACACCCACACCCCACCCACACACCCCCAACCCACCCACACCCCCCCCCACCCACCCACACCCACCCACACCCACCCACACCCCCCACCCACCCCCACCCCCAACCCACCCCCACCCCCCAACCCACCCACACCCACACCCCCCCCTAACCCACCCCCACACCCCCAACCCACCCACACCCACCCACACCCACACCCCCCCCAACCCACCCACACCCCCCCCAACCCACCCACACCCCCCCCAACCCACACCCACCCCCCGCAGCCATCAGCTGACTGTCAGCTGGGAATGAAAGGCTGGCTGGGTCTTTGGCTGTAGCCAGGCTGGGCTAGCACTGGGTGATGTTGTAGCCAGGCTGGGCTAGCACTGGGTGATGCTGTAGCCAGGCTGGGCTATACTTGGCGAATCCAGGCGGGAATCTAACTTTCGCTTTAAGGCATTTATATATAAACTAAGAGGGTAGTGTGTGGGGGGGTGACATCTTGTTAGTTTTGTAAATAAGTGGGAAAGTTTATCCAATGTATGTGGGTGTGTATCTATGCTTATATGTATGTGTGTTGTGAGAAAGAATGTATGTATTTGTGTATATGTATGTATGCATCTATGCATATATGTATGTGTGTGTGTGTGTATGTATGTCTATGTGTATGTCTATGTATGTGTGTGAAAATATGTATGTATGTGTGTGTGAGAGAGAGAGAGACATATGTACCTGTGGGGATGTGTGTGTGTGTGTGGATGTTGATTTTCTTTAAAGAAAAGAACGATGTAATAATAATGTTACACGTTAAACAGAAGCGTGGGGTGGGTGTCGTCGTCGTTGTTGTTGTTGTTGATGGGGTGGGTGGGTGGGTATAAATATAAGGACTTCCAATTCAGAGTGAGATAATTCCCAAGGCTTTCCCGGAGAAGTCAACCATTGTGTGTGTGTGTTTGTGTGGGTGTGGTTGGAAAATAAAAAAAATCCTACAAATTAATAATGATAATAATAATAATAAAAATAACCCTTTGCATTTGATACTACAACAGGAGGACATCTCAAAGCTCTTCCCTGTGCAAAGTGTGACTGTATGAGGAAACAATGGTCCTTCCCCCCCCCACCCCCCCCCCAACCCCCACCCCCACTACCAATTAAAAAATAATTTTAGTTAAGTGACTGTACTTAGTTCCTCTCGTGCCTCTCAAACACACAAAAAGCACCGTTTTTTTTTAATTTCTCAAGTGAAATAAAATAAGAGAGAGAGAGGTGTGTGTGTGTGTGTGTTTGTGGGGGGGGGGGGTGGGGGGGGATCTATATACAATTACCACAAGCTTGAGTTTTGAACCCACACAGCGCCCCCTAGCGAGAGAAAGTGGTAATTCACAGTGTTTCCCACCAAACTCCCTCTCTGGTCTGTCGTTGTGATTGAATGCTCAGCGTTTCAATAAGTCAGGACAGTCCACACACACACACACACACACACACACAGCACTGTGTTCCAGCAGAAAAAAAGCTTTCAGTTAATATAATCCTTAAGCCCCAAACATTGTAACTTCTTTCTAAATCGATCCTGACACCCACACGTTAAACATTCTGGAGTTTGGGTGGTGGTGATTTTGTACTTAAAAATTATTATATGATAATCTACACCCCCCCCCACCCCACTCACACACACACATACACACACACACACACACACCTACTAATAAAAAGAGCAACACAGGTGACCAACAATTGACGGGTTAGTTACTTACGTTTTAGGTTCAAATATTTCTAATTATTTGAAGGTGCAATTTGAGGATTTATGATTTGTGTGTGAGAGAGAGGGACAGTGTGTGTGAGAGAGAGAGACAGTGTGTGTGAGAGAGCCACCGTGTGTGTGAGAGAGAGAGAAACAGTGTGTGTGTGTGTGTGTGTGACAGATAGAAAGTGTGTGTGAGAGAGAGAAATAGTGTGTGTGTGTGTGTGTGTGACAGATAGAAAGTGTGTGAGAGAGATGGAGTGTGTATGTATGTGTGAGAGAGGGAGAGAGTGTGTGAGAGAGAAAACGTGTGTGAGAGAGAGAGAGAAAAATAGTGTGTGTGTGTGTGTGTGACAGATAGAAAGTGTGTGAGAGAGAGATGGAGTGTGTATGGATGTGTGAGAGAGGAAGAGAGTGTGAGTGTGAGAGAGAAAAAGAGTGTGTGTGTGTGTGTGTGTGTGACAGATAGAAAGTGTATGTGTGAGAGATAGTGTCTGTGTGTGTGTGAGAGAGA